GTAGATCAAACTTCTTTGCCAATTCACAAATTTTCATTTTTGTATCGAGGTCTTTAATAATGGGTACGTTCGTAAAGTCAAATGAGTTAAACGCGTTAGTAATGAATCGTTCGAAAAGTCTAACAAAATAGGAATAACGATGACATCATTCTCGTTTAACTCGTTCGACTTTACGAACATACCCAATGTTAACTTTACTTTCCAAAGATAAACTTTTTCTTTTCTTGTTTGATGCAGAAGAATTAGTTCTACTTCGTTTGGATGACATAGTAGAGTCTCTCGAGTCTCCGTAGATATAACAAACACAGAAATATCTTCTAAACTGTGTACAGTAATACCCCGAACTTAAGCGATAGGTGGGACCGAGCAATAACTGTGTAAGTTGGGGTATAATTTCACAATTTGTGTAAAATCGAAGTTGGATGTATGTAAGCTAATAAATGTTCTTGTTAATCTTATCTCGTCTTTCGATTCGTTCACGGTTGCAAGAAATCACCACATAGAGTCTCTCAAGTCTCTGTAGATATAACAAACACAGAAATAAATAACACAAAATAAATTGTAGCTATGTGTCAATTCCACGCAACACGTCCGAACATGTAAGCTGAACAATAGTGTGGAGGGAGTGAGTAATCAAGAGTTGCGTGGCGCTCAAACAAAAGATGAATCGACGAGATTTGAAAATCATGTAACTCCGGGTTTGTGTAAGTCAGGGTAGCATAAGTTGAGGTATTACTGTACTGGTTAAGTGTTATGTCTTCAACAGAAAATTTAGAGGTGCAAAGTATATGGTGGTGCAAGTTATGCAGAGCAACGGTCAGCAACCTTTCTGACCTCACGGACCACTAAAGTCATAATTTTGAATCCCGTGGACCATCATCATGAATTTTGTATTGTTCAATTTTACTATATTAATATGAAACTCACATGTTTAATTATAACAAATTAATGCAAGCCTAAAGTTCATTGCTGCTTGTTTGAAACAAGTTTATGGATTCTTTGCGCTTTTCCACGAAAGACGATAATCACACTCACAATATTGTTTATTGTTCATTATTTATTGATAACAGTCTCTTCATTTTTGGTTTTAGATTTGAATAAAAAATATGGAGTTTTCCAGGTTTTCTCCACATCTGTAACACCTGAATAAGGGTCAGTTACCCTTGAAAAGACCTCCTGGAAGGCATCCCCCCTAGGCAGATCACCCAAGTGTTGCATTGCCATAACTTAACTAAACAAACAATTAATTTTAGCCCAATATGAAGAATTTTTTCATTAAAAAATGACCAATGGTAATTTACATACCATGTTTCCCCGAAAATAAGACAGTGTCTTATATTAATTTTTGCTCTGAAAAATGCACTAGGTCTTACTTTCAGGGAATGTCTTATTTTTTCCAGGAAGAAGAATTCACATTTATTATTGAACAAAAAAAATTCCCAAGTCGAACTTAGACGAGAGTGACGTATATCCGATGTCTCAAACTGTCGCCTTTTTATAGCGTCAACATCGGACTCAATGACCAATTAATGCTTACTGAACCGTAGCACTATGCAAATGTCATGTGGCGTGATTCCCGGCCGACCAATTAGCCATCACCAGCCGTAACGTTATGCAAATCTGTGATTCCCAAGCCGTAGTCTTATGCAAATCATGCCGTGTGGCGTAATTGTCTGCTGACCAGTGGCTGTACTTTCAAAAAGCCAACGGCCACTTTCAACCATCTGTCAATGACCGTTACGACTAAAAAAAACTTCGCTAGGTCTTACTTTCAGGGGGAGGTCTTATATTTTGCAATTCGGCAAAATCTGTGCTAGGTCTTATTTTCTGCGCATGTCTTATTTTCGGGGAAACACGGTAGTAAAGAGCAATTATTTATGACATCATCACAATGCTAGGCTGCAGTTTTTAATCATATTTTTAATTAATTTAATTTAAAACATGTGTGTTCCACCCAAATTCGTAGTGGCTTGTCCCTGTACAGTACATCATACTTTTCCTTTAACAATAGAGTCATACTGATCATCTATGAAACATCTTTCAGGGAAAAATTTTCAAATTAAAATAATGTCACTTCCAGTTTGCATTGGCAGTTCATATATAGTGAATCAAGGCTCCTGTCCCTAAGGTTTCCATATCTAATCTTGTTTTTCATCTAACTAACTCTGTTCAAGATTAAGGAAAGACAGACAGACAGACAATAGTGGGAATTTATAGGTCTACAATTTTTTCAAATAGCAGCCCAAAAAATATATTGAAGAATACAAAAATTTTCACAATCAGAATTTCTTATCCAATACAGTATTTTCAAGAACAATTATTATTATTATATTAGTTATCAGCAATTGAGAATGCACTTAACTACCATTGATTTCTTTGTGATAGAAAATAATGAAATTACAAATTTTTTAATAGCTTATCTTAAACTTTCTCAATTAAATCATATCTCATGGAAGATAACACTTAATACATTTTCATGTGGCATACTGTCAATATATAACAACAATAAAAATGTCAATTTAACTATCAAAGATAAAAGATGAATGTCAGAAATGTATCTGCTTTTTTTTAATCTTTGGTCTATTTAAAAATAAAAATTAGTCATTAAGATAGAAATAATCACTAAAAGATTAAAATATTACATTTAATTTGAATTTTGCAATAAAATATTTTAGAATAAACATATCTATAAATTATAAGAAGAATATCTTAAACAAGTTACCTTTGGTATTGCACATATATCACAACATTTGTTTGTTTCAAATCCAACACCAAACTTCACACACCATTGCACTATCCATAAAGTAGGAATACCATTTTCTTCTGTTTTGAAATGTGATGGCTGCACTTTCTTTGCAGTTTCTAACAACTTTTTTATTTTAATACTGTTCTTTGAATTCAACTGTTTTCTTAAATTAGCAAATAATTCTATTTCCCAAACAGGAATTGTTCTATTTTGTGTTTCTATAGTTTTTTCCTTCATCCTACAACAATACTTTCCTGAACGAGAAATTGAATGATTTGATTTTTCTATTATCTCAGCACATTTATTTACCGAATCTGTCTTTACTGATGTGTCAGTACTCACTGACAATGGAACATTTGATTTTTCTTTACTGTCCGTAGATGATCCAGTTTCAATTTCAAGAATATCTAAACCCTGTTTCTTAATCTTTTTAATTATTGTCTGTTTCATATTACTTGTACGCCAAACTCTAACTCTTTTTGGACTGACATCATAATACCTTGCAGCTGCCATAACACCATGTTTTTCAGCATACTGCACAACAGCTAATTTGAATGTTGGTGGATATGTCTGATTTCTTCTTCTCGGCACATAACTTCCTATTGAATTGTACTTTTTCGGATCTTTATTATTATGCCAGCTGTCATCAGACGTTGAATCACTCTGATCAATTGAAAGATCTAAAGGATCATCCATATCATTATTTCCAACAGAATTAAATGTTTTTTTATCATTCATACTATTATGACAAGTTTCAATGGATTCCATCTGCATTGCAACTTTCATATTATTATTAATAAAATTTCTTCTTGCATTTGCAGTCAAAATTCCAGATTTAATCATATCTGGAAAAACAACCATTGTACTAGATGTATGATTATAATTATCTTTGATGTCAGAAACATCATCAAATTCTTCTTTTCTTTCTATATAATTTAATGGAATTGTATTGCACATTCGCTTTGCACTGGTCACAGAATAATCGCTGTCTTCATCAAATGTTTCATTATCCTGATTTGTACTAACTTTATTGATATAACAATAATTTTTTCCCATTATATTATGACTGAAACCTAACTTATTACTCTCAGTAATTTTAAATGTTTCTCGTCCCACCTGTTTGTTTTCAAATATAGAAACATCAGAATCACTGTCATCTTCATTATGAATAGAAATAATTTTTCTGGGATTTTGAGATTTTCTTTTACCCATGATGAATGTAACTTGATATTAAAATTTTTTAATAGTAAGTTTTCTGCAAAATTATGCCATGAATATGATAAAATATTAATGGGTAACAAGGTACTTTCTCTTTTCTTTAGATGCTGTAAAGAGAAAAAATAATTTACTTTTTCATTTAACATAATTATGTAGTAATAATCATATAATTTTATATAAATAATAAGATATATAAGATTATAATTCTTTTTAATATGAAAAAATTGTACATACACACACACACACACATATATATATATAAAATTGTGTAACAAAAAAAACCATAAAAGAAATTAATTTAAATTACAAAAAACAATATTAATATGCATATAAGGTTTTCAGTCTGTCAGTCTGTGCTATTAATAAAATAATCAAAATTCTTATTTTCCATTAGAAATAGCAAAATGATTGATTAAATTAATAGTAAACACACAAAAAGATGCAAAATATTGCATTTAGTCAATCACAATCAATCAACTTAAAACTAAAAAATAAAACTAATACTGTTCATTATGATGAGCTATGTCTTGATCAAACCTTTTCTATTTTAGATAAATTATATATTGAGGTAAAAATTAATTAACCATCAATAATCAGAGAACAATTTGGTAAGCAATATTTTAGTTACTTGACAAATTTACTGCATTATGGTGGTATTAGTGAGGTTTACCTTATTCAGCTTGTATATGATGCCTACTGCTATACAAGATCAAGATCAAAGCATAGCTACAAAAAATTGCATGCTGGTTTGTTTGTATCTGCATTTAAGAATTTATAAGACATATGTTTAGTATGACGTATTTCTGTAATGTGATATATACATATATAAACATATATGCATATAAAAATAGCAATAAAACAAAAATAAAAGCAATAAAGTAGCCCAATTTAATCCAGTAGTCATTTGGCATATACAGGGTGATTCAAAAGTCACAGAAATTTTAAAAAATAACAACTCACAAACTGTTTACAGTAGGATGATGCAGTTTTCACAGAAATGCTTAGAAAGAAGTGGGATTTTTTTAGGTGTAATAAAAATTTTAGTACCAAACTAGTTACATCTCTTGCTATAGATGGTGCTGTAGCATTTGTAAATTTGTTGAAATAAGAATAAAAAAATGAAAATGTTCTTAGTGTAAGCTCAAGTAACTACACAAATTATGTAATCTTATCAAGTGCCATCTATGGCAAAAAATGTAACTATTTTGGTACTAAAATTTTTATTACACACAAAAAAATCCCACTGCTTTCTAAGCATTTCTGTGAAAACCGCATCATCTTACTGTAAATAGTTTGTGAGTTATTAATTTTTAAAAAATTTCTGTGACTTTTGAATCACTCTGTATGTTGTTTCTTTGAAACCCTGATGTTTCTAGACTTTTGTGCAGTGTACGATATAATTCCTACGCAAGAAAGGATTACTATCACAATGCATATCTATTCTCCACAGATGCTCTATTATCACAAGTTCTGAATGTTTACTAATTTTTTTGTTGTAGGTATTTTGTATGTTGTGGATGTTTGGTAGAGCTATGTATATGATTTATGTGATTTTGTTTTGTTTGTCAATGAATGTGGTCTTGTCCATTGAAATGAATTAATTTATCTGTGATTATGGCATGATCATAGTATATTTGCTGTGTGTTTTTTTATATGACTGCCTGAGGAGTGAATATGTGGTATGGCTGCTGAGTATGTAATAGTTTGTATTTGTGTGTACAAGATTTTAATGTACAGTTGTCCCTTGATAATCCGACAGGTATGGGACCAAAGGTGTGTCAGATTACCAAAAGTGTCCGGATTACCAAAAATAATTACATATTTCGCATTGTTTTGCTAGCAGTAACTTACAATATTCTCTACTCCAACTGTTCGAACAGAACTGCTCACATAAAACACACGAAATGTGTGTCATCGAGTAAGAATTGGATGGGGAGATTCACATCGCGACATGCTTCTGTGCAAGCAGACACATAACGGGGACGGGTACCTTGACGGGAGGTGCGTCGGACTACTGAGCATGTCGGATTAAAAAACGTCGGACTATAGAGGGACAACTGTATTATGTTTTATGTTTGCTATTTGCTTATGTCAATATAAGTCTATGTTAATAGCTTGCAGTTCAATGTGATGTGTTTTTAAGTTTTATGTATGATGTGACATCTCCTACAAGTGTCATCTGTAAGTGTTGTGTCTTTTCAGATGTGCTTCCTATAGTTTATTGTATTTATGACTTGATCTTGTATGGCAATCATGAATCTTTTTCTCTCTCCAAAGAGGCATTTTTGAGTCAACCAGCAGTCTGATGTAATTCTGTCAATATGATCCTAGCTAAGATAGTTAAGATATCTATTGTGGAGCTTGTTCTGAAATCAGGACTGTCTAATGTTATCTATGCATTTTGCACACTGTGTTAGATTCAAATCAGTATTGTGTAGGTTTAATTGTGTACTGTTTTTATCTGCAAGAGTTACTGCTTTGTTTAATTGTGACAATTCGTGTTTACTGTAGAAAAACTTTCATAATATATTTGTTTTTAATACAGGTTTCAAATATCTATGAGGCTTGTCCTCCCTCTTTAAGAGGAAGAGTTAGCCTTTCTATAAATGAATTAGGGTGGTGCTTGTTGTGCTTTGTTAATGTTGTTTACATTTTCCTTTGGAGTTGTCTTGTTCTGTGTGTGTGTCCAATGTATAAATGAACATATTCAAAACATATTTATAAACAACATTTTCAAAACAAATATGTCAGTACTGGAACTGCATGTGTGTTAATTGCTTTAAATATGTATTTTGTATTTAGTTGAATTATCAGTATTGAGTTTAATCTGCTATTGTATTCTTTTGTTTGTCTTTGTTGTATTTGTGCATTGTTCTATGAATTTAAGTTTGTTAGAATCCTAGCTATTTGTAGACTTCACTCATATCCAGGAATGCTGAAATATTGAATGATGAATGCATTTTGTACAGATGAGTATAGTGTATGCAATAACCATAAATGTGGGATGCTATTGCACAAACAGATTACAAAAAAGCATTCTGCATGTAAGTTGCTGTGTTGTTTGTGTGCTTGTCATAAAATGACTGATTCTATGAGCAAGTGTTCTTTGTATCCCATATGGTTTCTATGATAGTCTTTTTGTTGCTCTGTTCTTTGTTGTTCTATGCAATAGTATATTTTATTTGTGATGCATGAAATGAGTATTTTGTAGAGTGCAAAAGGCATGTGACTGATGTATATTATATAGAGCACGGGTAGCCAAAGTGGTTGATATTGACTCTTGGGAGTCGATATAACATTATTGGGGGGTCAATTGAAAAATTGAAACTAAAAATCACTAATATAACTACAGACAATATTATGTTTTTGAACATTGTTTCAATGAATTTAATAGTACAGCTATCCATCAACATGTAAAATGGCTACAGATCAAGTCACACAGGACAACAGAAATTGCCAAGTCCATGCTCCAGTTCTTACATACACGTCAATCATCCACAGCATTCATAAGCTTATGTCTGATTCACAGTATGCTGACGTTATTAGCACTTCTACAGCTGTTTTTAAGCCACTGTTCGTTTAATTTTAGTATTTCACATATATACAATAAATGTAAAAAGTGTAAAATTAAAAGAGATGTATTAAAATAGTAAGATTTTTTTTTTGCTTGTAACACAAACTTTTTGGTGGTGGTCGATGTGAGGTTTTGAAAAGTTGTAGGGGTTGACGATCAAAAAATTTTAGCGACCCCCTGGTATAGGATCTTTGATATTGTTGTTTTTGGGTTTCATGTATGTTATGCCCTATGTAAATTGTAGCACCACAAATACATTTACACTAATATATGTTTAATTTGTTAACACTGATTTTAATGTCAAAACAGTTAATTATTTCTATTAACTGGATTTTAGACAAAATTTTTTCTAAATACATGATTGTAAATGTTAAAATATATAGAAAGTGAAATATAGTTAAATAATCAGAGCTAAAGTAATTTACAAAGCTATCTAAGTATTAAATAAATATATATAGTTATTATAAAATGATAACCAGTTTGAGCCAAGTTAGCTCAAATATCAATAATATACAGTAAAACATGTAAAAGCCAGAAATCTTTCAGAGGTAGAAGGTTCAAATATTTTCTAGTAAAACGATTACATTAACCTAACAAATGTTCTCTGAAAGTCAGAACCTGTGAGATGCAGATGAAATGGAAATAATCATGCTATGCATCCCAAATACAGGAAAATATAGATGCAAAAGCCAGAAATCTGTATGTTCTGAATTTCCATATTGGTGCAAAGCCATTTATCAGGAAATAAATTATTTTTCATTAGAGGGTGTTTCAAATCATGCTAAAGGGCTCATTTTCCCATTTTGTTTGGAAGTGTTATTTTGTGCTTTTATTTTTGTGCCCTTATACTTTTTCCACTGAAGAACTGATGCTATAAATCTTCATGAAATTGTGGACTAGCAAAGTAAAGACAATAAAGATGATGATGACCAGCTAATAGAAGTGTCTTTATCTTTAAATAAAACAAATTTAAATCTACAAAAAGCTTACATAAAAGCTAAAAAAACCAAGAATTTTGTGATAAGGCCGTGGAGTAAGAAATTTGTTTCAATAACTTCATTTTGCTTATTAAAGTTCATTTCTGTTGCTTTATAATATTATATATATTTGTGTTTCAATAATGTCATTAAAAAAACCAAAGTCAACTAAGTAGACAAACATAGGTTGTTTTATTAAAAAGTGAACTTTGTTTGCTTATTTGTATGTAAAATCTGTAACAAATGTAATAACAAACATATGTAAATTATTAAAAAGTTTAATTTTTTCACCAAATCCCACAAAAGGAAAAAGAAACTTTTTCAATGCATTTGTGTAGGCCAGAGCTTCTTAAACTATGGTCCCATTTGAAAAATCGCTTAGCGAAATCTTGGGATTGCGAGATTTTAATGCAAAATATTGAAAATAATTTGTGAAAGTTTGAAAATGGCACGCTTTATGTCATAGGTTTCGTGAATTGCGCTTTGTGTCACTTCTGGTGCAGCGAGACAACGATTTAGCAACACTGATTGTAGTGTGAACTAGTGTAGTGTTGTC